TGGGTCTGGATATTTCTGGCTTTAATCAGTAAGCAAACACTTGCAGGTACATACAAACTACATTTATTCTATTAAAACCAAATTTACTACATTGACTACACTAACGACATTTAATAGTACATTAATAAAATAAAACTCTTCATCCCCGATAGGATACAATCGTTCCATCCGGCGACCAAAAACAGCTGAGTCTTGTCTTGCCTACGGCTAAAAATCTCCTAAATAAAGAAAAAAATCTTGTCTCCTGATCTGGTCATCGCTTGACCCGTGGCCGCGTTGATCAAATCTCCCTCTCACGCTGTAGATATCTCCGTCCGATCGGTCAAACTTAGCTTCGAACAGTTATGCGCTTTTCGTTGGTCATCTCATCTACTGCTATCGATGTCCGCCGACCGTAGATACCTAGATGACAATGATCGTTGCTATCCCTTATGTGTTATGTACCCTCGTAGCCTATTCAATTTTGTTTTTTTTTTTAAGATCGGCTGTAGCAAAGATGGTGATACGGTTTTAGAATACGGCAGCTTTTGCTTCCAATACGCAGCAAAAACCGAGGGGGGCGACACATCTAAATCTCAATTCTAGATGCTCAAAAAATCTCACACTAGCGAATCAATCTTCGAAAAATCATCTTTCATTTCTCGCATCTTCTTGCATCGTGCTTCATCTTTTTGCAGGAAATCTTCAAAATCGACATAAATCTTCCTTCTATCTACTCAGCGTGCGTGCAGCTAGCCACAGCAAAACACAATCTTTTCTGCATCGTAGATAGAGTCGTCCCCCTCGGCAAAAACACACATCCTTAAGCTGCAACGGATCCAAGTACTCGCGGGTGTTCTCTCACTGACAGATCGTTTCGCTGAGCTGTCCTTCCCGTTTATCATCCGTTGTGATGTAATGAATCCTTTGGTAATAGAACACTTTGAGAAGCTGCTCGACCGAAATCCTAAAACAAGATTCATGAGTTTGTACTAAGAGTACATGAAGCTGGAGGTTGGTCCTTCTTCATAAATCTCCAATCGTGATTGCTTGCAAGCCTTCTATAGTTCCTCTGTAAATTTTGATCTGACCATGATGCAAGAAATCCATGGAATACCAGATAGATCACCATCGGTCGATGGTTGTTCCCTCAGCCAGATAGTCTTAGCTCATTGGAGGCTATTCGTTCAATGAGACCGATGAAGCACTCCTCGTATTTCCGTTTGAGATGTCTTGGCTTGCCAAGATCTCGACTATTTGAATTTAATTTAATCCCAAGTTGATAGCTGCCCATCGGTGTACCCCCATGTTTGTCTCTTTCATCAGTATGTCGCTTAGTTCGAGATCATTGTTACAATTTGTTACCCCTAACCTCGAGATAGCCGCAAGTAATCGGCCCCCGCTTAACTAACAATAGTTTGGTGTAGTGGTAAGCGTGACTGCTTTCTCGCCCCAATGGGTATGGGTTCAATCCCAACCGAGGTCGGTGGGATTTTTCCGAGGCATAACATCTCTGATCAAGCCTTCCTTCGAAAGCGAAGTTGGTCCCCGGTTCATGAGTTGATGGGTCGATAGATACGGTCCAAGTATGGGAGCTGCCCCTCTGGCGTCGGTAGCATTGGTGCTCAGCATGGAAAACAAGATCGACTTGTTTTCCGTCGATCTTGTTTTCCGTGCTGAGCACCAATGTTCAATCAAGGAATAAAAATGAATATCGGCTCCGCAAAGCCATAGCAAATGAGCCTGGAAAAAATGCATTATAAAAAAAAAAAAACGATGGTGATATTCCAGGGCTGCCGTGCTCTGGGTGGTCTGGGCGAAACTGAGCACACACTGATTATAATTTCTCAAGCTATTACAACAGTATGTGATGATTATCCAAAGGCTACCTAGTTATTTAATAGTGTTGGCATACTCGAACATTTGACCAAAAGACATGTGGTCAAACAGCTGGGCACCATTCGTACGAATACCTTACATGGGAAACCCATGCATTGGAGTAGGGCCTTGCTTCTGATGAAGACTTTGTTCACCATGCAGATGTTTCCTCACGTCGAAGTATTTTCACCTATTATCAAACATCTAACAAAGCGAAACGTCAAATCTTTTGCTTTTTTTGTGAATCAAATACAGATATTACCGCCACTGTTGTGGCCAAAAATTAGCACATCAAAGAACTTATAAAAGCCCATTTTTGTGCAACACGTATTGTTAATATTTGCTCAGAACCAGTGCAAATTATACACCAGGCACAAGCCACCCAACTTCCGTGCATGACTTCAAAGGAAAAGCAGTCGAATGATGTAGCAAAATCCACCATTCTCTAACGACAAATCATTCCTTTCTCATTTAAATTTTCCTTTTATTTTCTACCTCAATCAAAAACGGCCGATGTAGGTATAAGACAACTTCAGCGGAACGGAGATTTGCATTTCTAAGGAAGTTACTGCTTGTGCCACGAACGAATGAAGTAAAAAATCGTATTGTCATGTGTGAGAAAGTAATTTCACTCTTTCCTTTCTCTTCCCTGGTCGAGGGGCATAGAAGAAGCGAAAGAGAGTTTAATCAACTTCCGCATGTCACGTGTGAAACTTCAAGAATACCCAACCATGCAATTCAGGAATAGGGGGCAAGCGTGAGAAAACCCGAATGGAAGAAGGGTTCATCACGGTTGGAGCGAGAGGATTCTTTGATTTGGAAGAAAGGTCGTATAAAAGGGGTAGCTTGATGAGGACGACGGTGGAATCGAACGAAAAGGTTAAAAGAGATGTTGGTGGATGACACAACAAAGAATGAAGCAGACTTTTTTCTATGCGAGGAAGGAGTGAAAAGTGCCTGCGTGTAATCTTTATGCTAATCAGGCAACTAGCGGAGAGGTATATCGATTCCAAATTTGTCATCTCATTTGGAAACAATTAGGAGTGAATGACATGTGTTCTCACGATCGAAGGACGAAGACGTGAGATGGATTCTGTTTTTCATAAAGAAAAAAAATCAACGGCGCTCCCTCTACCCAACATCCCTGGAGGGAGCTCACCGATATTAAAAGATCCGAAATTCAAATTAAATTATGAAAGATTCATCTAAATTGAAATTCCTTCCACCGACGATGACGAGTGTAGATAAGCGCCCCATCAGGACCAAAGGACACAGGAGTCCTACATAGGTACCTACCCCTGCTGGTCCCCTGCTTTCAAGTTTCAATCACACAAATACGCAGAAACGAAAGATAATAACAAGAAAACGTTCGTCTTCTGGCTGCTGCTGCAGATGCTGACGAAAATCGCCAACTCTCCTTCCTGGGCCAATCCGGTATGTAACGACGATGGTTGCGGTGACGATAAAGTGCTTCTTAGCGGGGCCGCCTGAGGAATGTACCTAAGCTGCCACCACCGCCCTCGGACGCAATGGAGCAAAATCCCGAGTAGATAGGCCACGGTTTCTATAACAATAAATATGCGTCGTCAACAAATTCCTTTCTTATTCCAATCTTCTTCTATTTTTTCCCTTCTCTCGAATCTGAGGTCCACTCCTGTAGATGTACGTCGCACCGGGATTTTCGGATGCCCAGAAAAAAAAATGATAAAAGTATGCCTCCCTCGCAGGAGTAACAACGCGAATCGAAAGCACGTCAAGATTAATGAAAAACATGCCGGCTGTCGTCGTTTTTTTTTCCTCGCTGCATCGTGGATAAAAAGAACCTTCAAAAGGTCTCTTCCAACTGAGGGATTATTGCGGGGAATTAGAATTTTACTTTACCAATAAGTTGCTGTTGTTGAAACATGCAAATTTGGTGTTGGGAAGATCTGCGGAATATTGAGATGGGTTTCGGATGTAGGATTCATCGATCTTTATTTTTGATTGTTAATATATTCTGTGGAATGAACATTTTACGATTCGCAAACGATGAAAGCATTTACGACAAATTGATCATACTTCTTGCAGTGTGTAGGATCTCCAGGTTCATAATAAGAAAGCATTTTTTTTAATGTGCTCTCTTTTAGTAAAACAACACCAATAACAATTAACAGCTTTTAATCCAATTCATTAAATGTTGAAGTTTAACACTTACTTTATTTTAGTTAGTCCAATATCTCAAAATATTTAATGTTTTTTTGGTTCCGTATTCCATGTCCAAGCTCAAGATATTGAAAAATTTCGAAGTTAAATTTAAGCAAAAATATAAAGTCCCATTATCTTCATAACAATTGTACGAACTTTACAGAAGGAAGTTCTGAGGAATTAAAGGAAATATTGAGAATTTCAGTGAAGCTTCATAAACAACACACAAGATAACATCCTCAAAATATGGGGAACCTACTGAAAAGCTCAAAGAACCTCATAATGGTTCTTTCAGTTTCCAAACAAGGAATGTTCAAATCAGATCCATTGTTCAGAAAATTCCAAAGCAGGAATTTTTAAAAGGTTCCAAGATTTTCAGAGAACTTCACCAGTGTCAAGAGAACTTAAGAAGCAAAGAGAGCTTGAGGAACGCTATGGAAACTCACAAAAGCTAGATCTTCAGATCTTTGGACAAGTTCAGCGATCTTAAGGGTAGTTCCCAAAACTTAAGTCCAGACTTTTGGAGCAGTTTAACGATCTATTAGCGCAAGTTCAGAAAAATCAGAATAGAAACAGCAGTTCTTTGGAATCGCTCGTGCGCTTCGGAAGTTTAGTTCCTTGTTCCAGAGAGGAAACTCATCAGAGATCTTGTGCTCTTGTGGTGCAGTTCAAGTTGCACATTATCATATACCCGTTCGGTCCGTGCCATATTTAAAGATAGAAGCCTTGTTGTTTTCGGTCGCGCGCCACACGACGACGTTAGCAAAGTTATACGGAACGGATTGCCTTTTATTTTTGTATCCGTGAATTTTCAAGAGTGATTGTCGTGCAGTTTCATTTCGGAGTTTGCCAGCGGAAGTAGCGTCCCTGTATTCTTTTGTTGTCTCCCTTGATTCTTCATTGTCGTTATCATGGCCGGATCCGGAAACAGGGGCTCGGCCATCGCCAAGACCGTCGGCTTCAATGCCAAACGTTTTCCGAACTTCGACGACCGGGTCACCATGTAGGTATGTGTTTGAGGAAATGATCGACAGCAAGAAGCTAACGGAAATCATCAACACCACACACGAGAACGTCAAGTACCTGCCTGAACACAAACTGCCAGAGAATGTCATCGCCGTTCCGGATTTCGTGGAGGCCGCCAAGGATGCCGACATCCTGATCTTTGTCGTGCCCCATCAGTTCATCCAAGGTCTGGGCACTCAGCTGCTCGGCAAAATCAAACCGACGGCCGTTGGTCTATCGTGGATCAAGGGCTCCGACGTTGCCGAGGGCGGTGACATGGAGCTGATCTCGCATATCATCACCAAGCACCTGAAGATTCCCTGCTCGGTGCTGATGGGTGCCAATCTGGCCGGTGAGGTAGCTGAAAAGAAGTGCTACGAAACCACCATCGGCTGCCGGGATATGAAGATGGCTCAAACGCTGCGGGATCTGTTCCAGAAGGCAACACACAGCAGCGAGAGGCCCAACAGACAATTTGAGTTGATCAAAAGTCGAATAAGCAATTTTTTAGCTGAAGAAGCTTATTTTGCCTGAATAAGCTCTTATTCAGCATGCAATGTTTGTTGGGGGGTTAGTACCGCTGCAAAACACTCGAACGATACTAAAGGGAGGAAAATCATAGTCTTAAGTAAAAATGGAGAATGGTCGGCAAAAGGCATTCGAGAGGCCATAGTCACAATTGGCGACCGACGTAAAATCGGGAAAGGTATTCGGAGGATCGCTTAAAGTATGAAAATCTAAGGATTTTCCAACGGGAGGTGGTAGGGATCCGTGCTTAGCACGAATGTCAAAAACCGCACACTCGATACGAGACCAATGAAAAGTGTAAATTTACAAGGGATTTCTGAAATCAAAAGAGGTCCTGAACAAGAGGACACAAACCAAAATCAGTTCAAACGATTTTAACTTGTTCGTGATCGTCCAAATTTATATTTTAAAAATCATAATCACCCTACCCGGACTATACTTACCGTAGATACTCACCTGTGATATAAATGTAGTAATAATTAAGTCAAATGCAGCTCACTTATACTTACCATTCACAAAATGTTTGACATTGACTAGATTTTTCTTTTTCATGAACTATTTCGTACTTTTGCCCAGACCAGAAGGGTCGTGCGGCGCTTGAAAAGATAATGAAGCCACTTTATTTTATTTTTAGGCAGCTTACAATCATTTTCCCTGGTACATAAAGGTGGAATGCTGAGGCAAGTAACCGGGAATAGGCTGCACAGGTTGGCGAGGAGTCATCTAGTTATGTCCTCGGAATCTCGGTACATATATCCTGCCCAAATACCACCGTTTTCGTCAGATCCACTAGCCTAAGGATCGATTGTCCTAAAATGGAAATAAGGAGATAATCGTTTGTCATTTGCAAAGTTGTTTTAAAATTTTCAAGAGGAAATTTACTTGTGCTTTCAATTGGTTAAGGAGTTTAACACTCCATTAAAATCAATTATGGATCACCCGATCATAATTGATTGTTCCTGTTGATGGAATAGGGGGATTTTCGTACCAGCAGCAAAAGTAAAAGATCGAGGAACTGCATGTATTGCCCTCTTTCTTTGCACTAGTTACGGTAAGACTGGCAGAAATTCACCCCACTTGTCAACTTATGTTGACCTTTTTATGCTTTGATCAATTTCAACGATCGACAATATTTTTATTCACTGAATTGTGCGCACTTTACTCACCTGCAGTGCATCTTGTGGATACAAAATGGCTAGCACGCTAATCCCGGGATTTCATGGGTTTTCTGCAGGAAGATCTTCCCCAGGAAGATTTTGGCACTGGCATCAAAACAACCCACCCACTGGAGCTCCAATCAACTTCTATACACACATACACCTACAAGAAAATAGGAAGCATAAATGTCGATATGCTAAGTCGATATCTTTATTTACTTACCTAATTTCGATTGAAATTTGGCCAATTTCAACAAAATAAAACACACAACACAACATAACTAACGAAACATAAACATTGCTCATGGCGATATGCTTTGACAGATGTTTATTTACACATTGATGCCGTATGACAACCTGTCATCGGTGACTGATCGCTTGGTCGACTAATCGATCAAATGACAGTTCACCCGCCGGTACACGGCGAATGAGAACGACTCAAATTTGAGTTTAGTTCACTCATAATCGCTAAAAGTGCAGGAACTCAGCGATGAGTTAATTTGCCACATGTTTTCCCAGGTTTTTCTAGGGAAAAATTCCCGAATTTGAGAAAAGTAAAGATTGGATTCACTCAGTTTATTGGTACAACTCCGAGACTGAATAAAATTTTCGTCAATTTCCTCATTTTCCGGCAGATTTTTTAGGTTTTCCACAAGAAACCATGAGATAAATTTAACTCATCGCTGCGTTCCTGCACTTTTGGCGATTATGAGTGAACTAAACTCAAATTTGGGTCGTTCTCATTCGCCGTGTAGATCCCGCCTGCACAAGGGGGACTACCAATGCAAAAGATCGAAAGTGATCTAAATGAAAATTATGTAAATATTACAAATAGGGTTGTAAAATTGTTTTGCTGCAGCATTGTAAAAATGTTTATATGAATGTTTATCCATGATTCGGGATGATTTTTGTAATTTATTAGTGTTAAATAAATGAGTAGTGCACGTTTTATCATTATTTTAAAATTTGGTTTTAATTTATTATTTTAATTTGTATGTACATTAAATAGTATGATTATGATTTCGCGCGTATGTAAAGTAGATTGTCAATCATATGTTCTGATGGTTTGTGATGTGGTTGCAGTTTCATGATACCGTTTGAGCCGAAGATGGTTTTGATAAAAAAAAATGCAAAATCACTTCGTGCTTTTTCATTTTTCATCGGGGTAGTGGATAGTCTAACCAGTTGGTTACAATCCGTGGATTTTCGTTTGTATGAGCTGTTGTTGTTTGGAAAATTCACGTATTTTAAATATCAAAGACAGAAGGCAACACACAGCATCGAGAGGGTTAGTACCGCTGCAAAAACACTCAAACGATACTAAAGGGAGGAAAATCGTAGTCTTAAGCTAAAAATGGAGAATGGTCGGCAAAAGGCATACGAGTGGCCATATTCTAAAAGAAAATACCTTCTAATTAGCAGATGTAATCAGGCGTCTGTGTAGACCGGTATCGTAAAGTGCAGTGCCATTAAGTGTACCCCCTCCCCTTGTGGGGTTTCTGGGATGTTAGACTGCCTCCGTTCAGGCAATTTACTTTTTACTATCCTGACGGAAAATTTCCCAGAATTATAACAATTCTCAGGACCTCGTACCGTAATTAAAACGGTTTTACACGGCTCGGCTCGGAAGTCAAGATGGCTTCCGAGCCTAATAGTAAATGATCCTCGATCGTCCGTCAGGGACGATTCCCTCAGGCCGGTGGCCATAATTACCAAAGAGGGTCCCGTCTCGGCTCGACCAAGGTGGCCATGCCACGGTCAACCGATGCCGTCAACGGCGTATTTGGCTGATGAAAGCCACCAGATCTGCCATTCTCCCAAAGCTGCAACAACACTGTCTGCAGCCCGCGCCGCAAGTTTCCGGCCACCCGGTAGTACAGGAGCAGCCGTGTGGGCCAACGCCAGCGTCGTGACACAGTAGGAGATCCCGCTGTAGCAGTGAGTACTAAATTTTAAAACCTCGCATACACGCCACATATATATGAAAACCCACACCCACATGCCACAGAAAAGGGCAAATAAATGTTTTAGAAAAGGTGAATATTCCTGTTTTTTCATACTTTGTCCGCGTAGCCCCTCCGAATACCCAGTAGCATGGCGGCCCTGCGACACAGTTCAGGGGTCTCATGCTACTGAGCTAGTTACCCGGAAGTGTCTGGTCATGCCATAGTCACAATTCTTCGACGATTTTATAGTAAGACAACAATAGACCAAGGTTCAATGGCAAACTAATACCCACTTTTCAATTAGAGAATCCAAAAGCTGCCTTTAAACTGTGTACAGTTGCGAAAAACCCATCCTCAGAATTCCTTGAGGTTCTTTTCGAAATTTTTAGAATTCTATGAGCTCTTTTCAAATTCTTCTCAGAAGTCCTCTGTTATTATTTTTAGAACTCTTCTTGACTATTTTTCAGAACACCTTGGAACAGAAATTTCCTTAGAGTTTCAGAAGAATTTCCTCAAAAACTGAGGAATTTTTTTTTTTGAAGTTCTTCTCAGAAGTCCTCTGGAATTATTGTTAGAGCTCTTCTTAACTTTTACTTAGAGCACCTTGGAACAGAAATTCCCTTAGAATTTCAGATGAATTTCCTCAAAAAAAATATTCTCGGAATGAACCAGAAATTATCGGTACTCCCTTGAAATTTTCCTCAAAATCCCTTTGTAATTTCACTCAAAATTCAATTTTCTCGGTATTCTATTCGAAATTATCTTGGAACTATCTGCAGGATTCACTAGAAATTATACGCAGAATATTCTTGGAGTACTCCCCAGAAATCTTTTGGAAATGTAATCAGAATTCAATATCCTTAACGATCTTCTCGGATTTTGTTTACAACGATTGAAATTCTTCTCAGAAGTCCACTGGAATTATATTTAGAACTCTTTTTGATTTTTCTCAGAACACCGTGAAACTAAATAAGCTAGAAATTACCCTCGGAATTCGCTGGAAATTTTGCTTAAAATCCCTTTTGAATTTCTCTCAAAATTTGATTTTCTCGGTATTCTTTTCGAAATTATCTTGGAACTATCTGCAATTTTTTTTTTTTTTTTTAATGCTTTATTATAGAGATTTTTAGCCATAGGCTAGTTCATCTCTTCTATCTGCAAAATGCATTAGAAATTATCCGCAGATTTTTTTTTTAATTCTCCCCAGAAATATTTTGGAACTGTCATAAGAACTGAATATCCTGGAGGTTCTTCTCAGAATATTTAAGAAATCATTAAATGGTCTTAAGCAGATGCTGGAACGAGAAGTTGAACTGTCGGCTGCTGAAGAACAACTTCGTCCGTTCCTAACACGACTACTGTTTGAACACTAGGGTGAGCCGAGACGAAATATTTTACGTGATTGTGTACGTTGATGATCTACTGCTGATGGGAGACAACATTGGTATGATAGATACACTGAAGAAAAAAATGTCGCTGAAATTTGAGATATCAGATTGCGGAGAAGTTAGACATTTCCTTGGCATTCGAATTGACTATGATCGAGAAAAAGGATTTATTACACTTTCGATGGAGGCGGTCTTCCACAAACTTCTGACGGAATTAGGAATGGAAAAGTGCAACCCTGTGAAAATTCCTTGCGTTTCCCGAATCGAGCTATAGTACTGATCAACCCAACTACGAGATGCCTTGCAGTATGATGTACCTTATGGTATGCGTTAGACCTGACATATGCTATGCTGCTGGACATATGGGAAGCTCTGAAGAAGATTGTTGGATACTTGAAGGGGACCAAGTCATCGAGATTGTTGCTTCGCCGCGAGGATGACCCATCAGTGTAGATCGGATATACTGATGCAGATTGGGTATCTGAAGCCCATCGCCCCTTTTCAAGGTCTGCGGC